AAACAGCTCTTTCCAGCCATGCTGATGCAGGAAGTGATGTAAAACAGGGAAAATTATTAAGTAGGGACAGGGAGATGTGTTCCGCTATATTCAAACAAAAATACAATCCAGTGCACCTTTCATCTTAGCATCTCTAACATCCTGTTGGAAGCAAGAGTTCTCACTCTACTGAGAAAGTCTTTGTGTCTCATCACAAATACCACCATGTAGACAGACTAGAGCATCCTTCCTCCCTTTCCACAAGACCCCTGCCACAAGGGGTGTTAAGAATCACCAGGTTCATCCGATCTCCAGCAAGACAAATTCTTAATATTCGGCACTCTGCATGCAGGAAAAGATCTCAAAAGTCTTATCTTTTTTCTCAGCAGAAGAACAGACTGGCTCAGGTCACCTGGTGCTACAGTACAGTTGAAATCTGCTTGATACAGAACATCAACCAGTTTAGAGGGCTCCAGGGTTTCCCAGGGTGGCCAAAAGAACAATCTCACAGCCCAGACCTGCAGTGCCTCGCCCCAAGGAGCCAGTGGCAGTGCCAGCAGCACGCTGCAGACAGGGCAGCAGCCCTGCTGTGTCCCCACCTACGGCCACGCTTTGCCAGGGGGGCCGCAGAACCAGGACCCATGTGGCAAAACAACAACGAGCAGTAAAATGATGACAGGCTCTGTGTCTGAAAGCAGGGCAAACCAGCCAGCAGGAAAAAGATCCCTCTGAATAATGCTTCAGATACTGCATCGTGCAGACACATTCACTCTCCTTTGCCACGAATACCAGAGAAGCAACACTGAGCTGCAGCACCAGCGCCGAGCGAGCCTTTGCATCCCCACGGCTGCACCGCGCCTGCCCAGGCTGCAGAGACACGGTGATCACAGGGCACGTGATGGCACAGTAACTAACCTTGTATTTCTAAGCAGAAACACATCGCATAACAGTCCAAGAGTTACACAGGAGCTTAATGGCTACAAAGAAAAATCATGCTGCTATAATAAAAATAGTACAGAAAAGGGAAACTCCCTATGGGTGGTTCCCAGCCTAAGGTTGAAGGAAATCTTCGCATCTTCTCTTACAGTAACAATACAGAGGAACTACAGCTGTGGTTGTAGTTGCAGAATGCTGGTACTGCCCCTAAAAATGGTGTTATCGTTCCAGAAGAAGAAACAGAGGGGTAAAATATGACTGGGCCAAAGGAATCCCGGTGGAAAGGACTGTTACCTTACCCGGAAGGCAAAGCAGGACAGAAAAAGCTGGGAACAAAGACTAACCAGCTCTAAGATCCCTGTTTGACCAGACAGAAAGCTAAGCATCACTACATGGCTACAGAAAGGTAAAAGCACAGTATAAGATGCGGAAAATTGGGCTGCAACCACAAAAAGGATGGGAAGATGTTGAGGGAAGAACGTACTGATTGTAGGGAATAACAGCAAGGGCTGCACCTTCCAGAGCAGAGCTCTGACTATGAGCTAGTGACTAATGCCAAGTCCAACGGGACCACAGGAGTGGGGTGTTGGAAAGTGATAATGGCACAATGTGACGGGAAGCCATGGCTTGGATGTGCAGGGGTTCTCAGGAAGGTGAGGAGGGAGCCCCTGGCAACTGTGACATGGGGAGAAAAGGGGAGATGCAGCCTCGTGGTGTGGGAAGAGACAGGATGTCGTTAAGAGTTCATACCATGGTGCAGCACTAGGGAGCCCAAATCTGACTTCTACGACTCCAAGAAAATATTACAGGAGAAGAGAGTAAGGAAGGAAAGAGGTAAGGCAGCGTCCTGCTGAGCCTGGGCACACTGATCACTGTCGGAATAGAAAAGCTCCCGGGCAGGTCTGAACCTGGGCACTGGGAAGAGGGTGGCCTAAGCTGGGCTACTGGGCAGGGGAACTGGGGAGGCTCAGAGAGGCACTTTGGGGATGGCAACCAGCCAGGTGGTCGGGGGCAATTGCAGGAGCCCCTGAGGGCAGTCTGGGGGGCACTGACAGATGCTGAAGGGCATTTAGGGGGCAGCTGTTAACGAGCACTTGAGAAAGAGTTCGTTATGAGGATCCCTACGAGGCATTTTGGGGTCCGCAAGTCCATGGAAAGTGTGGGGGCTGTTTTCAGGGGGTCTCTTGAGGTGTGGGCTGGGGGTCGCCGGCAGGTCCCTGAGGGGAGGTTGGGGGTGTCACCGAAAACGCAGGGATAAATAAAACCCTTTAACATAACCCTTTACAATTAAAGACCTTCCCAGCAACGGGTGAGGGGGAAATGGCCGAGCCCCTGAGGGGCGGTTTGGGGGAATGTGAGGCGGTCGCTGGCAGGTCCCCGAGGGGCGGTTTGGGGGAGTCAGCGGCAGATCCCTGAGGGGCGGTTTAAGGGGTGTGAGGTGGCCGCAAGCCCTGAGGGGTCGTTGTGGGAGGAGAGGAGCGGGGTGTGGGGGAGATCGGCGGCAGCTCCCTGAGGGACGGGCTCAAGGGGGTTCCGTGGCGGACCGCAGGGGGAGGCTTGGGGGACGTCTCTGGCGACTCCCAGAGCGGCGGCCCGGGATGGCGGCAGCGCGGACCGTGCCGGGAGGGACGGGGAGGCGGCGGCGGCACCGAGCGAGACGCGGAGGCAACACCGGCCGCAGCGTTGCCGGGAGCCCGAGGCCCTGCCCGCGGCCCCCACCCGCCGCACGCACCTTCTGGCGGATCTGCCCGGACGTCGAGACTTTGCGGATGAGCTTCTGCGGGGAGCCGGGCTCCTGCTCCGGCTCGCTGTCCGACGACTCCTCGGGCGCGGCGCTGGCGGCGGCGCCCGTCCCGGGCTGGGGCTGCGCAGCCCCGGCCCCCGCCGCCGCCATGCTGCAGGACCGGCGGCGCGACCCGCGCCCCCCCCGCCCGCCGCGCGCACTGCACCGACCGCCCGCCGCCACAGCGCCCCCTGCCGGCGGCCGAGGGCACGGGGAGCCCGGCCGCCCTCACGGGACGGGCTCGGCCCCCGAGAACAGCCCGGGCACCGCTCGCACCGGGCTCGGCCCCGCGGCCCCTCCGCGGCCCCCCGAGAACCGCCCGAGCACCGCTCGCACCCCCGGCAGGTCCCAGCACCCCCGCGGCTCCCCGGGGCCAGCGCAAAGGCGCTCAGCGCAGCCCGCCCTGCTGCGGCGGAGCCCGGCAGCTCGGACCTCGGTCCCCGTTCCTGTGGCTGCTCCAGCACAGAATCACAGAACTATTCCAGGTTGGATAAGACCTCTGGGATCGCCGAGTATAACCTGTGACCGCTCCCCACCTTGTCACCCAGCCCAGAGCACTGAGTGCCACGTCCAGTCGTTCCCTGGACACCTCCAGGGACGGTGACTCCACCACCTCCCCGGACAGCCCCTTCCAAAGCACTGCCCTTGTTCCCAGGATTTAACAAGTCCTGGGGGTACACCCTCCTCCCCAGGCTCGACCTGCCGAGCCGCCCCCCTGGCCAGAAGGCACTTTGGGGGCGCTGCCCCCTCCGTTCCCCACGGGCCCCGCGTTCCAGCTGGGATCTCACGGAATCGCACGTGGGGAAGGCACATGGCACCAAACCCGTCCCGTGCCGTGTTTGATACAAGCTGTGTTCAAACACGGCGGTTCCAGGGATGCCGCGGCTCCCGGAGCTCATCCCGCTCCTGGAGCTGGCAGGCTCCCTACAAACGGAGTCAAGAAATTGGATTGCTCCCCCAGCTGTGCAAAGGAGTAGCAGGTCCGACTCGGCAGAAGATCAACGTAACACCACAACCAGAAGAAAGGGAAGATAAAAGGAAAACAGTTCCACCTAGAGACCTTTTTCTGCTGACAGAAGTCAGCATCTGCTGGCTGAAGGGCAGGAGAACAGAAGTCCAGCTTGTCCCGCAGGACAGGGAGCTGCAGAAACCAACAGAAAGCCCTCGTTGCTCTCTGAGCAAATGTCCAGCATGAGCTAGACAGTGTCAGAAAGTGCTTTCCCGAGCCCAGGCAAAAGAACAGATTTAATAATCATTTTGACTCCACCCCATTGCACAGCAGAGTGCACTGTGATTTTGTCACACTTAGCTTACAGAAGTCACCACCACAGCTGAATTTGAGATAAAAGTCAGGTAGTGACAGAGGCCCCTCACAAGGCTGACAAATAAGAAGAAAAAAAAAAAAAGAAAAAGACAGAAAATTAATCAGATCTTTGAGTTTGCTAGTCCTGTACTTACAGGTCCAGTAGCCAGGAACACTGAAGGAATCACCTCTGTGGAGGAAGCTGCGCTTTGAAGCAAAACTGGAAGACTGTTCCCCCTCCTTCTCTTAGCATCTCCAAAGGATTTTCTGAACACCAGCTCTCTGAGACCACCATATTCACAACCAGCAATTTGTTCAACCTTACTGTGTCTTCTGTGTGTTCTTTCCAAGCCACCAAGAAATCAGTAATAAAAATATCGGGGAAAAGCCTCCCCAGACATCCAGGTGCAAATGCCTGACCGTCCCCCAAACTCAAAGCTGAAATCACACCAAAATCATACTGACCACAAACACCTGAAATGGCCACAGGTTTCTTTAGCAGCAAAGCACTCAGTGCTCAGAAAGAGCAGAGCAAACCATTGCCTCCTGCAATTTCAGCTACTGTGAGACAGCTGTGATAACAGACACACTGGGGGACAGGTGTATCAGGAACCCTGAACTCCAGGGACAGGGGGATCAGGGAGAGCACTGATGGAACCCTGAGGACAGCCATGGTCTTTGTTCACTGCTTCCAGCAAGAGTAGCTTACAAAAGCAAAACAGGAGAGGGCTTTACTTCTAACCCAAACTCTTTGTGCTGGAGGCCCCACGTAAAGATGTTTGGTTAAAGCCTTTGGACCACCTGTAAAAGTTGGGCTTGTAGCCACGATGATGTCGGTAACAAAAGACAAACCAGCCCCTGCTCAGAAAACACGGCCTGTATATAGAACAATTCTGCAGAAATGCATCTCAAAAAGGTCTCCCTCATTTTCCCCTCTTTTACAAGCACATCGGTAACTAAGATATAAGTGTGATGCTCTTAATGCCATTTTCTGGCGCATAGGGTGGGAAAGATAAGTTTATATTAATAAATTTAGGCCCTGCATGCAGACTTTTCAGGAGAATTTAAACCCGGGACACTGAAAAGCAGATTTAAAGCAAAAATGAGAAAAAGAAAACACCAGTTGTTTTACATGCAAAATGTAATTAGCTGATGCAACTCACTTCAGCTAAAACCTAAGTGAGATTCAGGAAGGGATCAGACATTTACATAAATAATGTGAATATCCAGATCAACAACAGTTTGCAGAATACAGTCTCATTTCTTAGAGCATAAACCAACCTCTGGCAGATGCATTTTGGAAAAGGCTTCTCAGGGAAGGCTGCCTCATAATTTCCTCCTTAATTTTCCTGCACTCTCTTTTGAAGCAGTGTTGCCTGCAGGAAACTCTATTAAATACAGGATCAGCCTGGACTGGCAGTTCTCTCTTTGGGGTTGCATACAGGGAGCTTTGTTAAGGAATTCCTGGACAGTGCACATTATCTCATCTTTAACAATGTGGTTGTACAGCATAATGCTAGAAAGCAAATACTGTGTATCAGCCTTATATCTGCTGAGGGAGACGACTTGCAGGACATTTAATGGTACAGAAAGGGGTTGTTATCCACACGGGGACAGTCCAAGCACTGAAATCATGCACTGGATGAATGTGGTAAAGCATAAACACAAAAGCAACCAAAAGGAAATAAAATCAGTTTTGTATAGTCTGCTGAGAAACTTCAGTGAATCACTCAGGGCTGCGAGCCAGCCTTCCAGGCTGGGACTTGGGTCACTGGCACTGCAAAGTCACAGATTCTAACACCGAGGAAGTCCAGGCAGGCTGCACAAACCCTCATTTAACTCTTGCCAGTTCTGAAAGCAACCAACCTTTTCATTAGGCAGCCCTGAAAGCAGAAGTCATGACATGGCAGCCTTCCCGTCCTCCTCTGGTAGCTCGAGTAAGCACCAGGGGCTGTGTTTGCCACATTCTCCCAGAGGTGAAGCTTGTAATAAGCAGTAGAGATCCATGATGTTGTGTCCACTGATCTCAGGGCTGATCCCTGCATGACCACGTGTGCATTGAAAACATGCAGTTTACTAGAAACTCAGGTCCTAAATTCCTAATTGAAGTCTGACTACGCAGCTCCTCTGGCAGCTTGTTCTTTTAGTCACTCATCAGTTGAGGGCGAATTCTTGTCCTCTTCATCAGGTGTATTTTTTAGCTGCTGACGAGCAAACTCCTCAAATACCAGCTCTGCTTCACTGCAATGGCAGAAACACAGGTGTTTGAAAATGATGTCAGCCATGTTTTGTACCAGCAGACTACAAGCAACAGATAGGAGGGAGAAGAGAGGCCTGGAGCAGCCTGGTAATGTTTCCTCTGACTTCCAGGGGATTTGGATCACATCCCCACAGGCACCATCTTCACTAGTGCTATTCTAGCTAACAGGAAAAGCAGTTGATTGAGCAAGTCAGGACACAAACTGAGGAGGTTTTTATGGGTACTGACTCATGTCCATTCCAGCTACATATTTATCAGCTATCTGAACAGCCTGCAGCCTGAAAGGGGCTTTGTCCAGGAATAAAATGTGCAACCTTTCATCCTTATTCCCTCTGTACTAAAACAGAGGCACATGGTCAAATCTATTAAGTTCCTGAGACTTTGAGCTACAGAACATCAGGTGAGCACGAACATACCCCTCCCTCAACTGTGAGGCAAAACATGTTCTCTTAATCAAATTTCACATGGTCAGCCCTTGCTGGTTAACTGAGAGCAGTCATTTGTCAGGCCACAGTAACTTGCTCACTTTGGATTTTAAGCTGGGGATTTTTGGACAATTTTGAGACGTTTTCAAAAGAGTCAAAGCACAAGTGCAGCCAGAATGTGAAATACTAAAAGAAACTTACCCATCCTTCCCTGCAGTCACCCACATGCAGCAAGGGAGGAAAAAAAAGACACGGCAGGTAGTTAGAACAGCAGATGCTGAAACATTTGCAAAATGTTTAATGCAAAGATGTATAGACTGACAAGTCAAAGCAGTGACAAGCAGTAGGATTTGCAGCAGTATAAGGAGAATTCCAGAAAGTCTCAAAATGTGCATACATGCACCTGATGAAGCAAAACTTGATCTCCCAAATGGAAAAGCACTCCAGCAACATTGTCCAAGCCATCAGAAGGGCTGAGAAACCAAGACAGATTCTCCCATCTATGCTTGCTTGTGGTCACAGCTGGGGGAGACATCTGGGCACACACTTGGACTCCAAGCTGACAGGGCCTATGTGACATGGTGTCAGCTTTAACTGCCCTGTCACTGTGACTGAAGGACTCAGCTGAAGAGAAGACATGCTCTTGTTCAATAAACATGAGGGGACTAAAATCAGAGATCAGAGTAAAGAAAGGCCTCGTGGTCTCTCATTAGATAGGTTATGCCCTTGAGGCAACACTCCTGATTTCATCTTTCCCTAAAAATAGCCCCAAGACCTTTGGCATTTGTGTTTCTTTAATGGAATCTTTGCTAACCACACTAACAAATGCTGCTTGCTAGCAGGATTCCCTGGAAGCTGTTTCAGCACAGTCTAAAATAAGCAGAACAGACTGTATTTGCAGGGATTTTTTTGTTCTCACAGTTACTTTATCTTTAGCAAGTCGCAGTCACTTCAGTGGCTTACTTGTCCTGGGTTTGAGTCAGGGAGCAAAGCCCACCTCGTTCTACAGAAGTCATTGGGGATCTGGGATGCCTCAGCAACTGGAGAACTCATTACCTGGAGAATTCTCATCCACAGCACACACTGAAATCAAGGGTGAGTGGTGACAAGCACTGCTGGAAAAGTCAGCATCAAAAGTGTGCCAAATGGGGCTGCTCTAGCCAAAATGCCTCAGAATGCCTCAAAGGATGGATCATGCAAAGACAGTCCTGATGGTATCTATCCAGACACAGATGGTTTCCTCTACTCCCTGAAGCCAAGATGAAGTCTGGAAAGTCTCAGGGCATGTATGCTTGATTGCAACGGAGTTAAAGTAAAACTTTTAGAACTTCTAAAATTTCCAACACATCCTTCACATTTCATTTTTCCTCCAATTTTTATTTGTTGAAGAGTCTGCTCTCTGAGGTACACTCATTGCTATGGGAACAGTGGTGTCAGTGATGTGGGTGAAGCTGAGCGAGATCCCACCGATGTAATTTGAAACCAATTTTGCAAAATGGATGGAAGGGGAAAATAGGTTTTGTTTCACTTGGGCATATACTTTACTGCGAGACAAATGATTACTGAATCAATACATAGTGTGGCAGCAGAGTAATGCTTATTATATAGCTCAGAAGGCTCAAGTTTACATTCAAAGATGCACTGCTTCACCCTCAGGCTGTGGCACTGCCTCCCACGTGCCACACTGGCACCCTTGCAATAGGCCTGCTCCAGAGTCCTCTTTCTGTCCAGTGCCTTATTTAATACTATAAAATTGAAAAATTCCCAGAAAATGGGTAGACTTTTGCTTTTTTTAATTAACATTCCAGCAATTGTTTTGAGGGTTGGGATGGGAGGGGGATTGATGCGGCTGCAGAAATGCCACCATACTCTCTGCAGGGTTTTCTGTGAGCTTTCATTATGCAGCCACAGAAATGATTCCATGTAGTTAAAGTTGTGGCATACGGTAATTTTCATTATAAGCTTGCTTAACCTCTCTTAACTTTATGGGAGAGGGAAAAAAAAAGGTAGCTTCTGTTATTTTTCAAGGCATTCAAGTGCTTTAAAAATTCGCTATTTTCTGGAAGTCACAACACCAATACAGGGAAAGTATTGCTTTACTATTAGAGGGACAAAGCATTTTTGGGTTTCCTGAAACCAGCCCTTTTGTGCAAGTTTAACCAGGGAGCAGATAAATGACTATTTGTTGAACAACAGCCAAAACAAAGACCAGGGTCTAAGACATAAGCCCACAAAATGTAAAACATCGGGAGATGGGCAGGAAAACCCCAGACCAAAGAACTCACGCTGAGACCACAGCCTTGAGGAAAACCCAGCAGGAGCTTCTGGGCTAACTGCTGACTGGGAAAGGTCTTGGAAGCATGAAGGGACACAGCCCAGTTTGAGTCTATCTTTAAAAGAAATAGATCCCTACACGTTTTCTGTCAGCAGGCAGAAAAGACAGACTTGCCAGTGTGACAGGAGCTGCTTCGCCTAAAAATAACCCCCCAGGGACCACATGGGTCTAAACCCAGTCAAAAACCCAGCACAGATAAAACAGGCAAATCCCAGACTCCCAGGGGTCCGAGAGAAGGAAGCTGTAAATAAACACAGGAAAGGGAAGGTGGGCAAGCCTCTCCTTTTCTGTCTCCTCCGGGCACAGGGAAGAAGGACCAAGCCATCTGCAGTAGCCATGCACCGGGACAGACCTGCTTTTCCCTGAGGAATGAAGGCTCCAGAGCTCTCATGGACACCTAGACAGGGCAGAGCACTCTGCCGGGGAATAAAACACATGGCACTTGGTCACACGCTTGGCCCTAAAAAAATTAAACCATGTGCTTGGGAAGTTTGTGTTTCTGAAGTTCTCTACTCTCAAGTCACCTCTGCATGATTAAAGGCATTATGTTTTACTTCTGCCATAAATCACCTTGGCTGGAGAAAAGGATATTCCCCCACTGCAAGGAATAAATCATAGTATGTGGCAGTTTTTAGTCCCACTTCAGCTTTGACTCTCTAAGTTGGTTCCTTTGACTCTTTTCTCCCAGCTGTGCCTTCAGACAAAGTCCAGTACAGCAGGGAGGTGCAATAGGCAAACTGGTTCCTACTGACTCATCAGTACAAACAAAAGGGAACGGAAAGAGAAGATGAGGAGTGATCTCGAAATTCCCTAGGCATGCACCCCTGCCTACATCCACTGCACAGGCTGCTGAACAAGCCAACAAAGAAAAGTTCCATCTTTTGGGACCTTTGAGAGTCTAAACACTGTTTGTTGAAGCCCCATCTCTGCAATTAAGTCTCGATTTGCTTGATTCCAAATTAGATGGTGTTTTACTAATGAAACACATTGTATTTCTCAGGGCTCACGAGCTAAAGTGGTAGAATAAAAAATTAAAAAGCCTGAACTCACAGTTGGGAAAAGTGATTAGGCACAGTGCATGGAAAACTACCAGCAATAAAGCTGGAAAGGATTTGACTTTACCAGCTTCATCTGGGAGGCTATTTTATTCACTGTAATAAGCTCAGACCCCACATTCCAGCACAATTTTCAAGTCAGCTATGCAGGATTCAGAGGAGTTTTCTGTTGTGTTAAAGTATCTTTTTTTAAGAGAAACCATTTATTTCCCGAGGTAACCATTTGCAGGGCTTTCCCAGGGGATAGCTCCTGAAACTGCCTGCCTTTTCCTTCAGTTTATAAGGAAGCTGCAGTTTCCATGTGTACAGAATGCATGGACCATAGCTGTCTTCTGACAGCAAGCCCCTGCAAGACTTTGATGTAGCAAACAATACATGGGCCGTGCCCCTGGTAAGAGGATGTGCTGGGGGAAGCGATCTGAGAAATATTACAGTTCTCCATTTCCCCTCCAAAGTCTTCTGCCCACATCCTTTTGAGTGTCCTTTATAAAGGAGTACATCAGCCCTCCTTTGAATTGATCTTAGAAGGGAAAACTGCCCAATTTCCATTTTTCCTCATACTACAAATGCTTCTCCCAGAATTATAAAGTAATAAAAAGGGGGTTGTGGCATTGTTAACACCAGAAAAAACTCATGCAAAAATATTCTCACCGTTTTAAAAATGTAAAATTCTTTACAGTTGCCTATACCTTTGGATGAGCCTCGTTAGAAGTTTTCAAGCTTCCCTTGGTGTCCATGAAAGCTCTGGATTTTGCATCCTGAGCTGCCCACAGGCCCTCCCAGCCACTGCTCCTGGGGCCACCAGTGCCATCCCAGCCCCTCACCATGCTCTGTCTGTGCTCAGGGGCTGTGCTGGCACAGCTCACAGCAGGGGCTTTCCCACTGAAAATGAGAGTTTCCTGGAGTGCAATTCTTACAGGAGCAATAAAACCTACCTTTGCCCACTCTAGCACATCCATAATTAGCAAACCCCAATTCCCAGAGCATAGAGTGGATCACCAGCATCTCTGCTCATCGCTTACACTGGATTCCTGCAACAATTTCACAGCAAGGACTCAATGTTTCTAATGCTGCTGGTACAGAACAGAGCATCTATCTCAGGGTAACTCTTCTCACAGGTTCTGCCACCACCTTCCTGTGGTCACATTCTTAGAAACAGCAGCTTTAGGTACATTTGGGTCCAAAGAGAAAAAAGGAAAAGAAAAAGCAACACAGAAGCAGCCATGGGGTTTTTGTTTGAAGCCCCCCAGCTCTGTCCAAACACAGGGGCAGGCCAAGATGGTTCAGCTGTAACAGCCCCAGCACAGAAAGGCTGCTGTGTTTGTGTTCAGGAGCTGCTTCAGAGCTGGACAGGAGCCTCTGATTTCGTGTGACTACCTTGTCTCTGGCGTTCACCACTGGAGAACGGAGCCAGCCAGAGCCTGAGGAAGTGGGAGGAGAACACAGATGCTCCTGACAGCCTGTGGTTTTGGCATCTGATCCCAAGCCTCAGGATGCCTGGAGAAGGCTTACTCCTTACACTGCTCTAGAGTTCCCACACTTCCCTGCACAGATCTGATGCTGAGGAGACATTCCTCTTGGCTAATCACTGAACATAAAGGCCACATCATAAACACCATGGCCAATGCCACATCAGGATAACAGGGTCTCCAAAATCATCAATAGTTTTACCACCTCTTAACTTTGCTTAAAAGTATTTTGCTTTTTACAGTGCTCACGTGTGTTAGGTATTTTCTGATTTTTTTTTTTCTTATCCTGGAATGTGGCTGGGAATTGCTGACAGCTTCATTTGGGACATTTTACTCTGTAGTCATGAGATTTAACTGTGCAGTGCTTCCTCAAGCCCCTGTCCTTTGAGCTGTGATTCCACAGACGAAAGATGAAAAGGTAACATGACTCGTTTCCATTTTCTCCCATCTTAGCATCCCTCCTGCCTGTTATTTTGTGCCTTGAGGTAGATATATAAATATATAGATAGATAGATAGATAGATAGATACATATACACACATACACACACATAGAGCAGCTCCATATTGGAGCCTTGCGGGCTCTAAAGGCTTCCTGAAGCACAAATCCCTCTAAGCCTTACCCTGGTGAGATCTAACTGGAGTCTGTTAAGGAACCAAGGCAAAACTCAAGTGTCACTGACCTGCTGGGCTCCTTTCCTCAGGTTTGGGGTGCATGAGACGGAACGGCAGCTCTGTGCCCACTTCACTTGGGGGAGAAGAGAGACTGCATCAGACCCACAGCTCCATTCATGCCTGGTCCAGACCTCTTCCCAGTTCAGGCCAGCCCGAGCCCCCAGCTCCACCTTCACCCATTCTTTCATATCTTCTAATCATAATTTTCCCCTCAAAGAGGAGTTAAACTCCAATTTCTCCACAAATATCCCAGGCATATCCATGTTCGTGAACTGGGTTTATTATTATGTGCTGAGTGTATTTGCATGGACATAAAATCAAAGATATCTTTGTAATTGCTTCATTTTCACAGCAGAATGCACAAACTTCTTGCTCCTATCAGCTTAAGGGATAGTTATTTTTTTTAGGGAGGTGGGAATGGGAATAGGAAAGAGGGTAAAAAGATGAATTAACAACTAGGACTGCATGGTCTGAAAAGGAAGATGATGTTTACCTGGAGGTGAGGTCTCCCAGCATGCTACAAAAGAAAACAAGGAGAAAAACAAAGAATATTTAATGCCTTTCCATTCTGGTGCTCTACTAAATGCTGTTTTATTGTAGACTATGGAAATCGCTGTCCTCATATACTGTTCTCTGCTTGCCACAAAGCATAAAATCCAAATAAACCTGCTTTTAAAAAAATAATCTTCATTTTTCATGTCATTCCCATGGAGAAAGAGCCTAAGTTTTTGAATTCCTGACCAAGTGTTGGGCATGGCCCCTTTTCCAAGAGCCAAAGGAGCAATTGGAGGTCCACAGAAGGCAACAGGCATTTTATCGGGCTTTAGGCAAATCACTGATTCATTTTTATGCTAGAAAGAAGGACAGATGAATGAAATACAAATGTAAACAGTGGCTAACATCAACTGAGAGTTATTATCCTTGTCCTCTTTAGCACTATATCCTGGAACTAGCTCATGTTGATAACATCAGCTTTTCCCAGAAAGCTGGCTTAGTACAGAACCTGAGCTACATTATTTATGGCTTTCAGGCAGATGTTTTCACCTTCTGGTCTGAAAGAACAATGCCAACATAAAGGTTCACACAAAGTTTCACTTAAGTTCTCACAAAACAGGTTATGGCTTTGAAACAAAATGTTGCAATGCAAACCAGAGGTTCCTGCTTGAGCCATCCAGTCATGTGGTGTCTACAGATGGCAATCCAAACCCCCTGGTTCAGGTCAAGTTCTTTGGACAGGCCAAGACTGATTTCCAGGAAATTTATGCTTTAGGAGGAGCCTCACATCTTACAACATGTGCCCTTTCTCTTGGGGTGGACTGTCCTGCTCCCTCCTCACCCTCACTGATGGACACACACTCCCCTCTCTTACCTCTAGGCAGGTACAGCAGAAAGGGTGTCACACTTACCCTGGAACAGTGAGCTTCACCTTGACCTTGTAGGAAACCAGGATCCCCATCACTGTCTTGTCTATTCCATCCTTAATGCTGCCAGAGAAAACAGCAGTGTGAGGTGGCACAGCAACATGGCACAACACACACCTGGAGCAAGAACTAGGGGAACATCCTGAACGTGGTAGAGCAGACAAGCCTCAGGGACAGGCACCAGCTCTGCAGAGCTGTGACCACATACCCTGAGTGTGACAGGGTCAGTAATGCTGCTCACACAGGACACACAGTTACAAAGTCCTGACAGAAGGGTCTCCTCCATCCTCCCCTCTGCTTTATAACACACCCACTGCCTGGGACCATTTAAAACTCCACTCACATAGTACTAGAAGCCAAGTTGGTGTCCTCATCCTTTAGTTTTCCATCCAGAGCTATTTCCCGCGTCTCCCGGTTATTTGCAAGCAAGGGCAAAAGTGTCAGTGTCTTGGTCAGGCTGCTGTTGGGTTGCACCTTCTCCCTGAAAATAATAAGGGAAATGATACACTCTGATTTGTGTTACATACCCAACCAAGAGAACTGCAAAACAGAAATTACAAAGCTGCCCAAAAGGAGAGGAATTTAACCCAATTTAGTTGCCTGCAATGCATATGTCTGCATCTCATCTAGTCAGTAAAATTCCCTTTATAATCAGCAAAGAAGAACAGGCACTTACAGGAAATGCTTAATTTCACATTAAGGCAGAAGAGTAGGTCAAAACTGCAGAATCGTACATGAGTTTAGTTTGGAAAAGACCTTTAAGATCATGGAGTCCAACTGTTAACCCAGCACTGCCATGGCCACCACCAAACCATGTCCCCAAGTGCCACATCCATTTTTCCTAATATCCCATCTACACCTCCCCTGGCACAACTTGAGGCCATTTCCTCTGTGCTGCAGACCTCCAAATTTGGACAAAATGAATCCTAGCTAAGACCAATACTCAATGGAAAACATGTCCCTAAGTTACAGAGCAAAACACCAGACAAGTGTAAAGTATCTGGGTATGCCCAACCCTCCTCACAAAGTGAAGTTCAGTGCTGCCCTGCCAGGGCAGTGAAAAAACGCAAGTGGTTCTCCATAATGCCAACAGGCTCCAGGTTTTCATGGACTTTCTCAGGCCAAAAAGAACCAAATGAAATGGTGTGGAAAAGACTGGCCTCAAGCTAGAGTATCCATGTCAAGCCAGAGTATCCATGACTGCCACTCAAAGAGCAGCACCTTTCAGAAAAGTGCTGCACCTCTATTTAAAGATTTCCAGCAACGGGGAGCCTTCCACAGCCCCTGCTAAGCTTGTCTAGTAAGCAATTACTCTTCAAACCTCTTCTGCAACCTCCCCATTCCCTGAAACATTGTGCAGGGTCCCTGCTGGCTCTCTGAAAAAGAGACCAGCTGCATCTATAGGGCATGGATGTGGCACACACATGAGGGAAGAGAGGAGAGAGCACTGCAACGACAGGCTGTAATTAGGAGAACCCCCCATTACTCACAAGGAGGGTCATTAAAAGGGTGCAAAGGAGCAGGAAGGGAGAAGCAGAGCATTCACTCACTGTGCTTCCTCAGTAGCCACCACTTTGGTATAGTAGTCACTGGAGTACAGCACCACATTGGCAACCTGCTCCACTGAGGGAGGAAGGAGAAAGCGAACATCAGTCGTGTGTGTGCACCAGAAGCAACACAGCTGCCCCTGGCCTGAGTCTCAGGAATGGGAAACATGACAAGGACAGCAGGAAAAGCCATCCATCTGGAGCCTGAAAGGACCACCAGGTCTGACAGCCTGACCTGGACAGAGACCAACAGCACACCAACGGCCAGGGCCTATCTCCCATGAAAGGCACCCGCCTTGATTTGGAGACAACAGAAACTCAATTACCCATGGTTTCCCTTGGGAGCCTTCTCTTTCCATTATAAAGACCTACCTCTTCCTTCTCTAACCATGTCTGCTTTTATCTCTGGTCCTGGTATCTCTTGTGTGCCTACAGCACGTGCATTTGCATTCAGGAGACACCATCATCACACAGACTGCAGTCAAGAGCCTGTGATAACAAATGGTTTATATTCTCCAATCTAACACAAAACCCCCCAAGGTAATTCTGACTGAAACACTGATGAGGAGAGAATCTGGGGATCAACAAGGTCTTTTAAAGCCTAATAGAGGCATATCAGACTAAAAATACTTGGGAATCGCTAAACAGTGCATCCAAGATGGGCACTGGAATGGCTTTTTCTGCTGTAGAGTTTTGTAGGAACCTCAGCCATTTTGTTCCTTCCCTGCCTTCTGTTCTCTTTCTCATCTCTTGTCTCTCAGACCATCTTCCTCAGCTCTGCAGCCTGTGGCATGAGAACACGTAGTGCCACAAATAAAACACAGGCACAGTGCTGAGCTCAGCCCCTGCCCTCAGCTCCTCAGGAATCACAGCATCGCTGGCAGAGGAGCTGTTCCTCTCATTGCCTCGTTTCTGGAACACCAGGCAGAGCTGTATGGGAGTGAGGCATATTCACAGTTAGCAGGAGCATCACACTGACAGGGAGCCCTTCCCACTGCCCTCCCCGAAAAGGGGTGGATTTTCCCCCACAGCACCTGCCTTGCTTGCCCACTGCAGGTGCCAGAGCCTCTCTCTTTACTAGATGGAACAATCTGGTGCCTCAAATCAAGACTTAGAACTAACCACAAGAGTCAGGAAAAATGCTGCAATGTTTCACTTGATGAACAGCAAAGGAACAGCAACAGACAGGGTGGAGGGACAAATTCTGTACTCCCTAATCACTTTCTTAAACTGTTGCAAGCACTAAATTTTGGTTCTCTTTCAGTCCTATTCTGCTCAAAGAATCCTAAGCAACAGTCAAAACATACCCTGGACTTTGATCTTCTTCACTGTTTTCTCCGTGCTGTTGTTGATGGTGACAGTGACTGGAATGGGCTCGCCATGGTAGTACACCTGGAAGGAATTTGATGCTCAGAAATCCAGCCAGGACACTTCTCCCAAGCCCTAATCCCCTCCAGTTCCCCCAGATTACATCTCACAGAGGCTGAATAAGGGAAGATGACCCTTCCCAATGATTCATGACCCTTCTTTCAATGACTTCTTCAGCCTCAAATGTGTCTGGTAACGGGGTTTCAGCCTCCCCTAACAGCAGCTGCTGACAGGAATTACATTCCTTATAGCTCTTAAGTGGTGGGGCAAGTCAGTCTGAGTTGAGACAGCAACACATGAAGTAGCTGCTTTGGGCAGCAAAATGCACACTGGCCTGCCAATCCTGGGCTGTCCACAGCCCCGGAGCAAGTGTCTCCCTCACCTCTTTGCTGAGGGAAGCTTTCAGCTGGAGGGGCTTGCTGGACATGAAGAACTGCCAGGTGGTCTCTGCACAGGGCTGGGGTCCCGGCTCCTCCGGAGCGTACTGCACCTTGCGGATCAGCAGACGAGCAGAGTTCCTGGGAAGCAGCAGAGGACAACGTGGTGGTACCTTGTGCTTGGCACAGGCAGGAGTTCTGCACTCACACATGTTTACCCCCAAGAAGTCCACTGACAAGTGGGGCACAGCTGAGCAAGCAGCCAAGGGGCATCACTGGAGCACCCACCCCCTTTAAGGGCAAAGCTGAAGACAGACACATACGTTCTGTTACCTCTTATGAATTCTCTCTTCCACATTCTCTGTTGAGAAAGCTTTTACCTCAAAGTCCACCCCACAGGTCTGCCAGAGAGAGAGAGAGGACAGCTGTGAGATGAGGGTCAGAAGCCAGGAGCATCTGCACGTGCTTCAACATCTTTCTGCACACCAGGAATTGGCAGATTCCTGCCAGCTGCAAATTCTTCTGCCCTCCTACCACCGTAAGAGAGATCCCTGCCAACCCAGGTGGCAGAATCTACCTGTTCCATGATGCTTCTGGTAAATGAGGCCTAATTCCCAGCCTCCTGAAAGGCTTTCTGTGAGAGCAGTGCTGTAGAGGTCGCAGCATAAGACTGATCAGTGTGCAGGGCTCTCCAGCCCACCCTGGATTTCTGAACTGAATTTCTGAATTGGCTTTGTAATGCCAATACCTTCTTTCCCAGCATCTAAGGAGTGGGAGTGATCAGGCCCAGCTGATCTTTGCTTTAACAGGTTTATAGTATCATGGGACATCTGCGTGAGTCCCAAGTAACTCTCTACAGAGAAATTTTTGCTAGAATATCATTCCCTGACATAAAACACAGCTTATCCTTGTTGCACTGGATTCTGCACCTTGCCTGTTCTGCTGTTCAGAGAAGCATCCAGTGAAGTATAAAAAGAATATTTTAAATGGTATCAGAAACCTTGCAGAACATCTCATTATTTAATGACTTTTACTCCAGGGCTTTGGTTTGTTTACACACATGCACAAACCAGCCCTTTTCTGCATTTAATTCAGAGCAGGTCCTAACACGTATTATTCATAGCAATATATATTAATCTATTTTAGGCACTCTGTCTCCTTTCCTTTCATGTAGCCTCACAGCTACAACCATTTTATGTGCAACCAACCAACAAATCACGTGGTAATCTTAAGGAAGCTACAGCATTGCACATTTTTGTAGTCTTGCTGCTATTTGTCTGGATTCCCTTTCTTATTTTGAGGACTTCAATTCCAACTCTGTGACATACACTTGTAGCCCTTAAGTCAGGTTCTTGACATTTGTGGCACAGCACAGTAAAATCCAGCATCACCTTCTCCTACTCTCAAGCTGGACAAATATATTCATGTGACTTTTTTCCATCTGACTTTCCCCAGCCATGATAAGCAGAAGTGTCCCATTGGTCTCACCTTATCAACATCACGAGGTGCAGGCTGCAGACAGACTGAGCAAGGCAGGTAATCTGGAAACTGTGGGAGGAAGAAGAGAAAATACCCCAAAGCAATATTACACAGATATTCTAGGTAATTTATCCCTCACAAAAGCAATTCCGCAGACAATGGGTCAATCCCTGTCATGCAGTAACCCTTTGGAATTCTGGCTGGTACACTTGCCTTGTGTGACAAGTCCCTCTCTTCCAAAAATACTTTAACAGTCAAGATAGGGGGGGAAAAAAAGTAAAAAAAGCCTAGGCACAACCTGGATCCTCCCAGGGAATGCTGAGGCAGACATGTCACCGACAGTACTGGAAGCATATTCTGTCAGAATCAGTTTGGCAGGGAGCTGCTATTTGTTGACAGCATCTGCTAAAGAGCTTTTCATCTGCTTATTTGATCCATAAGGGTTTTAAAGCAAAAGGATTTGGTGCTGAGGCAATGGTATAAAGTATTCCAGCCCCTCAGGAATGGGAAGGCATAGGTATGTGGGGCTGTTGCTAGCACAAAGCCATTGCATATTCCCTTGCCATTTCAAAGAAAGCACTTTTCCCAGTGCAGTGATCATTGTGCAGTTAGGATCATCTTGCACTTTACTTCTTAGGATGGCAAGAAGAAAAAAAAAAAAATTTGTACACCTCCTGTCATTCAAAACTGGAATTTGCAGAATGTGAATTCACTATTAATTCCCACTTTCGGTCCATCACTGGGCCTCAACAGCCTGGTAAGAACAGACAAGGAGAAGAGTCAGAGGCTATTCTGAGATACTCACTGTAAAGAAAAAGGGATAAGCATTTTTCCCCAGCTTCTTTAGCAGAGATTCCTGCAAGTGAGTAAGGGGCTCTGGCTTGTCAGCAGGAGGGAACACTTGGAGCCTGGAGAAGAACAGGTCCCGTCGGAAGGTGAGGCCCATCACATCGATGTCCTCCTGGCCGTACCGGAAAGCACAGGTGAGGGACACGTACACTGGGGGCAAGCACAGCACAAGTCAGGCCTGCAGCAGGGTAACAGTGCAGCCAGGGTGGGACCTGGAATGCTCCTGCACTAGAGACGTGGAAACTCATCTCAACACTTGCATAACCCAGTGAGTATTCACACCACACGTAACAACTTACGTTATGTTGAGCAGGAAACCCATTTGTAGCCTCACAACAACAGAAAGGTTCTATCTCAGCACCTCACTTCACAAGATAACAATTTCTGAAACACACATTGCATAAAACCTCAAACCTTTTTTCCCCTTGATAAGAGCAGGATCCACCAATACAACACCATCTGAAAGGAAGTTAAAAACCAACGATTAACAGAGGCTAATCAGGGCTGAGAGAGCAGGAAGGGCAGCACGTTTCCCTGTGGACTTACCCACAGGTTCCACGTTCCCAATGTTGTCAATGAAGTCCCGCTTTCCCAGGTAGATTGTCAGCTGTGGGGAGGAGATGACCATGGTTGAACTACAGAATGTTTGTGACTGTGTGTTGAGGGAAGGGGGACACACACGCATCAGAGAGCTGTAAATCTTGCAGAGATGAGAACAATTCCATTTTAAATGGAGTAATTATTTTTTTCCAGCAAACATGCAATCCCCATAGGATTATCCACCTGGACTCACCAGGATTATCCACATGCTTCCAGACATCAGAACTGAAGACCTGATCTAGACCAACTCCCAAAAGTACAACACAAATACTTGTGCACGGGACCAAGAACTGTAGATTCAAAGATTTTTGGTGCCATCAGGTTGGAAAGATGTTTTAAACATCTACCAGCAGGAGTACAGCCCAGGAGGGGGGTGAGGTGAGCTGCCTTCCTCTTGTATTATTATAACATTAGAAGTTTGCCCTAAGAATTGTTTACATCATCTCCTCAAACTTAGTGCTAATTACGGTTCATGGTTCTTCTTCAGGAAAAAATGAAGGCGACAGGAAAGAGTTTTCTATTTAATCTCCAGTCTCACTACAGGTGAAACTCATACCTAAATAAACCCCTTCTTACGGTACTCACAGCTTTGTCACGGGTGCTTTTTTTGAAGATAACTTGTTTTTGTGGAGAACCAGCATTCTTCCCATCCATTCTTGGCTTTTGAGCCTCAGGGCAGCTGACAGTTAAAGATGGGGATGTGACTGTGGGTGAATGAAGGTTTTCTGCCCCAAAATGTCCTGGGAAAGATGCCTGGGGAAAACAGGTGGATGAGACAAAAGCAGAATCATACTTGGTGGGTAAAGCACTGTACTCCTACGTATAGTTTCCCATTTCAGAGCTCCACACATACCCAAATGTGGGCTAAGGCTCAGTCTAGGAGCTACAAAGGTGGTTTGTGTTGATAAGGAGTCAGACTGAACCCAAAATGAGAACACATCTGCCCTACTGCATTTTTCTCAACCCAATGCACATGCAGGGTATCACTGAACTCAAACCAGAATGGACTTCAAGAATAGAACAGTCCAGCTACCTGCCCAGACAGGTAACAGTTATAATCAGGGGTAGGGAACAGCTTGCACCCAAAGGACAACAACAGACGGAATAAAATTCTTCAGGAGGAGAAAAAAAGGCAGGGGGGAAGGGAAGGGGTAAAAGAAAAAAAAGAGAAGGGGAGGACAAAACAGAAGAGAAAGGGGAGACCACAAGGGCACAAGAGATATCCAGAGTGAGAAGTCCAGAAAACCTAAGTGGTACAAAGCAGAGAGATTAGTTTTTCATTTTGTTATGTCATAAAATAGCATCCAGTTAATGATCAGACAGCAAATTCAAAAGAAGGTGGAGCTCTTCCCCAGTTAACAGAAGATTCAAGAAGGCTCTGGAAACCACCAATATGAGTTGGATTACAGGACTAGACACATTCCCAGGGAACAGGCTTTTGGCAGCCGTTGGACAGGGTGATTCAGGTGCAACCTTACCCCTGTAGGATGCTGAAGCTGAGGAGCAGCACCAGGAAAGGACGATGCTGCACTGCCCTGTCCTTACCCTTCTCCCCATCACACCGGAGTGAGGGGATAGACACTGTCAGACACACCCCCGGCCTGCTGGTGCAGGGTTGTCCTCACCATTTCCTCCCTTTCTATTTCCCTGCTTGCTTTCCCATTTTAAAACTGCTTCAAGAATGAAACAGTTTCTAGGGCCTATTTGCAGACAACAAACCATAAAAAAAAGGAAATAGTTTGCTTCTTGGAAAGCTGAAAAAAAAATGTACGGCAGAGGTTATAAACAGACTGTACACATTTAAGAATTTCTATTTTATGAAGTAGGTTTTCCATATCCAGACCAGTATATGTTGCTGACTAGATGTGCTACTCGTGCTGTACTCAAATAAACAAACAAGCAAATAACATTAAATACCTTGCTGTCTTCCCAATGACACAGGAGCTTCCACAGACAACGATGGGGACTCCTAAACTCCTAAGGAAAGATGACTTTCCCAGGCAGTCGTGTCCTGTTCTTCTTTGCCTCTACCAGAGGGAATCACTGACCTCTTCACAAACAAGGAAGACAATTTGTAGGGGATTTGAAAGCTCATCTCTAGTTGCGTCCATCCAGGATTTCAAGAATTAATCCCCCTCCAAGAGCAAATATTGTACTTGGGCTAAGGGTCAACTGGGAAGTGGTTAAGTCAGCAACATAAGGCATTACCTAAGGACACTCAGACAGTCAGGGAAGAGGTCTACAGCGTCCTACTCACATGCTTTGTAAACACTGCACACTTACATAGCACAGGACAGTTACCAAAAGCAGCTTTATTTACTCTAATGCTCCATCTCCTCCTCCCTGGGGTTCCAAGACTTCCAGCCTGGTAAGAAGCTGAACGGACAAAAGCCATTTATGAGAAAAGGAGTTTAGAAAAGACTAAAATGCCATTTTGATGGACCATCAAACACTGAGAACAATGTGATATTCTCACAATCACTAAGCAATGGATCTATTATTGTTTCACCAACATCCCACTGGCATGTGATGCAAAACACTGTTGCTGGCTAGTACACCCCCTCCCTTAATTTACTTAGAGAGGCACATCATCTAGGATTTAAGAAACAGATATTTCAATTACCTTTAGCTTTTCTGTTCATAAATCTTCCAAGAGTAGCTTTACCCCCCACCAGTGAATTTGGCCTTGATATTTTGCTCTACAGTATGTGTAATTTTTGGCTTGCAAGCTGCAGGAACAGCTGTAGCTTTCCTCTGGCTGCCTGTGTTCCTTTGATTCCAGGGATCACATGATATCCTCTCAACTTGCCAGCTCAAGAGCCCCTCCAGCTCAGGCAACCTTGCAGTCACAAATCAGGCTTGCTTTTCACAAACCATCACCGACATCTGCCTGAATATAGTGGCCGGGTTACACAGATTATTTCCAAAAAACGAACCACAGAACCAGTGTTCCTCAGCTCTTTCAGAGTTTTCCAAATTCCAACAACATTTTATTAACTGGAGGTGGATTATTTGGAGAGCTTAATCACTACTCTGTCTATTCAACTCTAGCAAACACAAACCAGCCAGGCTTAAACCACAGAAATTTCCATGTGCCAGTGCTGCAGAAGGAAAGCCAGGTCCTGACTGTGGGAAGTAGGGAAGAAACTCCAGAAATTAGCTCAGCAAATTAACAACTATTCAGTCACACTTTGCAAAAGCAAAAGGGAGAGTGCTGGTTTTGTACAAGTTTGTGCTGCAGCCACTGCAGGGTCATTAGTCCTCCAGGGGAGGATGAGCATTCCTGTTGGTACATGTGCCACTGCAAACATTCTCAGAGGACCTTGGAAACAGCTCCTCCATAACCCTTCGATCCGGGGAAAGATGCCCAGCCCACCCCAAAAACCACCTGAAGGGCAGCTCCACCTTTAGAAATGAAACTGCAACAACCCCTTCTGCACCACAGGTCTCTTCCTTGGCTCTTCCTCCCTTTCAGGCTGAAGCAGAACAGGAGGCAACGGAAGTAATCAAAATATAGGGGAAAAAAAAGCTAAAATTGCTCACTAGAATTTCCTGCATACCTTGCTCCTAAGGAACTTTAATCTAAAATGCTTAAGGTCTTAGCTAGCTGGCCATTACCCTTCAGCATTATTAACCTGCTTCATAACAGCATCAAGGGGCCAAATAAAGCCCTTTGTGCAAGATCTGTGTCCATGCTGTAATAAAACACAAGTGTAGCAGCCTAAATTATAAACATCCTAAACCCATTCTGATCCTCCTGAGCAGAGCCTGCAGTTTTGATTACGTTAATCTCCCACTAATCTTTCATCATGCTGACTTGCCATTTAGGGATCTGCTTTTCCACAGTAACCAAGGTCACCCAGACTCGTGGCAGGTGCCTTTCCAAGGACTGCCTGCCACTGCAACAGGCAGAAGAAAAAACACCTTGCCTTTAGAAATGGTTCAGAATACCAACTTTTCATTTTTACTACAGTTCTCACTTCCATGAGCTGGACAGAAGCTCCTTATGACAAAAGGAGGGTGACGAGCAATGGCTCTTAGTTATGAAATGTGCACATTGAAGAGCTGAAGGCTTTGCTTCATTGCTCTGAAGCTGGAACCAGAACACCATCTTCAACAGGGGGTTTTGTGTTTTTAAAGAAACGTGCAACTCCTATTCCTGGCTTCAAAACTTCACAAGGTAGCAGCTGAAGTCTCACGGCAGGAAAAGCCTTCTATTTTCAGCAGTGTTTGAAATACAGATCCTGATTTCCTCTGTTCAGTAGTTTATCCAAAACATCCAAGAGTACATCAGCCTTTCAAGGACAGAGGCACTTGTTCAGTGTGGCAAGACTTCCTTCAGTCTCAAGGCAGTATTCCTGGGACAGGGCACGCCCAGGCTGCACCTGTGGGATGTCCAGCTCCAAGCTTGGAGCATTATCCTCTTTCCCCCTCCAGACCAAATCCCACAATGTGGCTGAACACAAACCCACACTTCACCAGGAAAATGACATTTCAGGTTCCCCTCTGCGCTCATTCCCAATGAGATCTCACAGAGACACACAAATAAATGAATCAGAGCACTGTGGGGTTTTAAAAGCAGAACACAGGTTTATTTACAATCAAGTTCTTATGGGCAGCTGAATAAATAAAAACTTTGCCCCATATACTCTAAGTCCCCTCTGCAGAAAGTGTCTGAACAAAAGGCTGGGTTAGAGGGAGCCTGTCAGAGCAGCTGCCCCCAGCCCAGCCCCTGAGAAGAACACACTTCCTCAGTAAAACACTATCGGGAAAGAAGAAAATAAAGTGCAAATAAAAAGGCAATAAAACGCTGGTGGCTTGTCTCGAGGCCCAGACGATGTGGAAAGGTTTGGCTGGATAAAGATATGCCAGGTAGGTCCCTCCCAGCCACATCATGGGCTGGGGTGCCAGAACAGGGACAGAGCCAAGACACCGCTCCGTAACACAGAGGGCTCCAGCGCGAGTGGGAATATTGCACGTGTGCTCGAGAAGGGGCAAATGGCCTGGAATTGCCAGCACCAAAACAAACAATGGATTTGGGATTTGACCCCACTGCTCCCCTGTGTTCTACTGACAGCCGCCAGGACAGGACGGATGAACAGGAAAAGGGACCAAACACGTACATTCTGGGACTGAAGTCACAGTGTGACTACATTCCTCATCACAGCAGCACAACTTCCACAACAAGTTCAACGAGCTGAACTTCTCTCTCCTCACACCCAGAAACCAAACTGCCTGTGGTATAAAAAGATTGAAAATCTTCTACTTTGTGATGCCCAAGCTGTTGAAGGGCATTTCAACAGGTGGGTGCAGAAGTCCTGAAGAACAGACCATCGCCTCAGGAGCAAGTGAAACCGATACAAGGAGTTCACAGGACAGTGTTGGAGAGCCTGTGCCAGGATCAGAGCAGATCCAAACAGAGCTGGTAAAACTCCAAGGCAGAGTTGCCAGAGCCACAGGAGACTCTCTTTAAAAGCTGTTCCAACACTTCACACTGCCCAGGACCTGTCCACATTTCAGGATCTTCTCACCCCACGCCTGAACTTGGCCACGAGAACAGAACACAGGAGACAGGACATGTTTTAAGTCAGCATACACAGTAACTCCTTCCCAACGTTTCCACCTCAGAAGTGCTGTAGATACATTTGTGTGACAGGATATTTGGCACAGCTGT